GTCTGCTTAGATTTTTTTCCACACGATTTTGTGAGTTGTTTACATTGATCAATTTATTAGTGAGCCAATGTAACTATTTTATGCTTTTTAAGCATTTCAACGTTGCTCTCATGCAATATTCCATGGGAGTGCAAGACCAATTTCCATAGGGAAACACCTTGAATTTATTTATAGTGCTTATTTGGGTTGAATGTAAAATGCAGTAATTCTGTTGATTATGAGATTTAGAATCAGCAAGAATTAATGGCTTGATTCTCTAGAATTAGCAAAAAAAAGGAATTAGGGGGTTGATTCTGGGAATCAAGAATTAGCCAAAAGAGGAATTCAAAGCAAATGAGCCCATAATGAATTTACCAAAAAAAGGTGACTTAAAATTTGAACTGTACCATTTTGTTTGTTTTTCTGCCCAAGTAAACTTCTGGGAGTAACAAATGTACGAGCAATTTTTATTCATTTGCTGCCAGCCTGCCACTAGTGTTATACATATTCTTTTTTTTTCTTCAATTTTTGGTGTGTCCGAAAACATTTGCAATCAGACATTTTTAATCGTTATTTGATTAAAAGAAGTATTGAATGTGAATAAAAGAAAACTTTCAGGGTCCGTTTGGTATACAGAATTGATGGAATTGGAATTGAATTAGAATTAAAGTGTCATGGGATTTAATTCCATAGAATTGAATTCATCAATCCCAATTCATTTTTTGCACTACCTGATGGTGTAAATACTGTGCAAATATTAAGTGTAAATGAGTGGAAGGGCTGTAGGTGGAAACACCTGTAACCCGGTTTGTTATTAATGATAGTAGGACTATTTACAAGTTATAAGCTGTATGGATTAATTAAAGCATGCCCCATAAATGAGGCTTTTAGTCCTATTTATAATAATGACTAAGCACGTCAAGCACGTCTCTGCTCTTTCGATCGGTCAGTCCCAAACCGGTTAGCTTGCCTGCCTTCGTCAGATGAAGCCATGTCTGTGATTCCGAATCTTCTCACTCCTTATTGATCAGACTGCCCGGGTCGATCGGGTCATAGGGCGTTGGATTTGATACCTCTTGGTCGGTATGAACCTATAGGGTGGAATCCATGTGTTATTACCCATCAAGGAGTCCTCCGATACCCGGCTCTGTGGGTACCATTAGGGGCGGGAAGCATATGCAAGCTTCTTTTCAAATTTCAAATCCCAACCGGCGCCAAAAACATATTTAAAGTTTGAATTTTGAAATCCCGGGCGTTAAACGCGGGGAAATCTTTATTGGAATCCGGTACGGCGCCGCCAATTTGTCGCGCCGTTTCTTCTCCCCGAGAAGTTATCATTATGAATCATTTCAGCTGCCACATGTTGCTCCCCAATTGGTCCGGCTGGGCGGCACCTACCCTATATAAAGCGAGGTTCCCCATTGAATTTTCTCACTTGCAATTTGCTATCCAAAAAACTACCCGGTTGCTACGTCTGTTTCTCGAGTCTTCCGAGTCTTCTAGTTTCAAGTAAGTCTCCTTTTCCTGCTCATTTCTTTGAGTCATGTATGACCACGAAGACAATTAGAACACTTCTGTTCATTCTTATGGTTCTGATGCCCGGTCTCAGACCTCCAGTTCTCAGTCTTCTTCTTCTGAGCGCCCGACTAATTCTCCACAGGCCGATCGATGCTTCCACTTGTGCCCCTTCTTCCGCGGCACAAGTGGCCACAGTTGCCCGGTCTATGGACGAGGGCTTTATCCTGCTGGATGACTAGTTGCTCTTAGAGCAGCCGTTATACACGCAAAAAGCTCAAGTCCACGAGCTGCGCAACCTCATGTCTGATGGTTACCAATTGTCCTACCGGGCAACATGGAAGAATATTATTTCTCTCCACACCGGTACGACGATTGGAATCCACTACCATTCCATCAAAGACTTGGGTGAATTCTCCATTCATTCTTTCAAAGTCCTCTTCCTCGAGACATACGGGATCATGCTCGGGCAGTTGGCCCCTATTGGTCACCGTATGCTGAGCAGTTTTATCAATGTCTGCCGTTGTCTTCGTATCCCCCTCTCCCTTTGTCTTTTCGATCACTTGTTTGATGTCCGGCCCGGGTCCAAAGAAACCCTTGGATTCATAATTATGTCCTCTCACCAGGGTCGTGCTTTTCTCTCTGGCGTCCCTCCCTGTTGGAAGGATAAATACGTCTCCATCAAATTCCCCCCGGGCGACTTTCCTTTTGCCCAAAATGCATGGGTGAAAATTTAAAGTCCAGGTCAAGCCCAGGGAGACTGATGACCTGGTCGGCTGGGAAGCCACCCTCCGGACTGGGGACACCTCCACTCGCAGCCCCTGCAACGTTGGGAAGTGGGGGGGGGGGGGTCTATC